ACTCATGACTGCTGCACAAATACTCTTGTTCTTTAAGTGACCTGAATTTCAACTTCTTTTTATCAAAATCACATGCCTCATTTACCGTTAGTGCAACACTTTCATGTAGTACTGTGCAGAGTTTGTAAATTCTTCAGCAAACACTTTAAGCAAACACTTGCTACAGTTCCTTTGTAAATCTCACAAAAACATGTCAAGGATATTTTGCATATGTGATTAAAAGTCAGCCTATTTTTTAAAGATGTTCTGCATTATGATATTATACTTATGTTAAGTTTGCAAGAAATGAAACTCTCGATCATCTTTTCTTTCCAACTGTGATATGTATCTGAGTGAAACGACTTCTCTGGTAAGAAAAAAGTAGGGCAGGACTTCGTTTTGTCCATCGGCAATTAACCAGATCGTTGCTGTTAGCTAATTGCTGTGATCTCATGTGAGTGACAGGTTGCTGGAAGTGACAGATTATTATTGTCCTGCCCTTGTGCCGAATTCTGCACCCCTGCCAGATTATGCACCCCCTCGTTGAAATCGCTACCTGATTGCCTAATCCTAACCCCTCCCCCACACCTACCCCTAAACCTAGCAATACTAGTGGGTGCATAATCTGGCAGGGTGCAAATTTCGGCACTACACCTGGTGCACACGTCATCAGAAAATAGACGTTGTTGCGAGAAGTTAATGTTTTCGAAGAACAATTAAGAGGGCACATTAAAAAAATTATGATGTAACTACACTGATAAATCATTTATAATTTGTCATTTTTATAAAAGTAAATGCACTACAATATTCAATCAAAAATAAGACTTGTCAATTTTGAGTTCATGGTGACCAAGTACATTTGGTTCTCAAATTCTCATTACAATAATAATATGCATCCAAAGTAAAAGACTCATTTGAAACATAAACTACCTCGATGTTTAAATACTATACAATTTAATACTATCTTTTGCATGACAGTATTAAGAACGCGACATTTTGCTTCATGTTAATTATATATATATATATATATATATATATATATATATATATATATATATGTATGTATATGAAATATGACCCAGATATGTTCTTGACATTGTCAGCCAAACTATTCAAACTTTCATTCAGGAAGTCAACAAAACAAGTAGGTTAATGGAAGAAAGTTTTTTTTTAGTCTGCCACTGACAGACAACTGTATTTCGTGACAGTTAGATGGCTGAAGCTCTTAAGTTACTTAAACTAGGAGACAAGTAAAGACAGTACTAAAAAGTGACCAGCTGGTCAGCGTGTCAAATTTACGCAAGACCATAAAACCACAAAGCAGCAAATGTCACCTTGCCAGGATTTGTGCAAAACATGACATCTCTTTGGAGATTGGAGTCTGATGCACACAGACTGACAGATGAGAAGTGAGAACTTAAATGGGATATAAAGTCAAATGCAGACTGCTGACAGCAGAGCACTGTGAGACATCACGTGAATGAGTCCCCAAAACAAATAAACCACTGATCTGATTTACTGACATTTCCACCCCCTCATAAACACTGATACATTTTTATTTAATCAGAGCTCCTGTCACGACCTACTGTGAACTTTGTGAAGCAGATGCACTGATGGCTATTTAAATGCTATTCATATGTGTCTTGTTAGCCTGCTTGAACTTTGCATACATTTTATCATTCGTTCTAAGCAACTCCATAACTAACTCTAAAATCATTGACACATAACCAGGACTATGATTAAAAACAAGTTATCACACTACAAGAGAAGTACTTAAGGAGTTTAAATTGCATTATACATAAAAAAGCGACGCGGCTAGCGGTAGCATGTTAGCTGATAACTTTTTGCAGTGCACGACCTCGCGTACAAATAAAGAGTCCATATTAGCTGCAGCCTTACCGCTTTCAAACGTCTCCATGTTTAACGTAAATGCTTAATTGCAGGTCTGAAGTAAAAAGCAAATTCTGTTTCAGTTGAAAGTGCGGGTATTTAATCCTGGGAAGGCTGAAGAGTCACACATTCATTCAACGCAGGAACGCATCAGATCAACTGGTGCTAGCTTAGCATCGTTAGCCTAATCTACAGCTCTCCCACTTCACCGCATTAAAATGATCGATCAGCGGTTTACTGAACCATCACTGCACACTGTTTATCGATATAACAGCGGACACGAGCTGAGAGGGGTAATCACTGCTGTCAAACAAGCAACCTGAGTTTTACTTCCCCCTTCAGCTGCCCCGTTTAAAGGGACAGTTCACCCAAAACTGGCCATTCTGACGTGCTGTCGAGCATTATAAATGTTTTTTAAATGGATGGATAATCCCCAAAAAATCTATCTATCTATCTATCTATCTATCTATCTATCTATCTATCTATCTATCTATCTATCTATCTATCTATCTATCTAAACTGTAAAAAATGGCCGTGAATTTAACGGTAAAAGACTGTAAAAATGCTACAGTAAAAACCTGTTAAATGGTTAACGGTAAATTCCCCTACTATATACGGTGAAAACTGTATTGGACATTACATGTATTGGACATTAATTTTACAGTAGTATACCGTTTTTGGAAGTGAAAAATACCGTATAATTTACAGTGAATAACCGTAAATTGACATTCCCAGAATTTCCTGCGTTACATTTCAAATTTGATGTTTTTTTGTTGAAATAACTGTTTCTTCTTAGCTTTTTCTTATCAGTTTTGTATATTAGGGTTGTGTGTTACACCTAATGTTGTTAAATTAATGTTACCATGATGGTGTTTAGTGTTTGTGTGAATGACACTGTGCACCTTCTATATTTGTTATTATTTAAAAGCTGCTTGTGATGGGTTTTGGTTCATCATGTGACTTTCTCATCACCACCTGCATTTGGTGGTTATCCGTGTATTACAACGGTACAAAACAGATTTCAATACTTCAATAGGTTGGTATATTAACATTATATCAGTTAATGAAATTACGGTATTTAACTGTAAATTTAAGTTAAAACTGCAAAACCTAAAATGTTGCTACCATATTTTTTTTACGGTAAAATTCCGGCAACCAAAGCTGCCAGTTTTTTACAGTAAATTTTATGGATTTTTTTTTTTTACAGTGTATCTATCAATCTATCAGCTGTGGACTGGACGTTTCACCAGAGAAAGTCTACTTGGCAATACATTTCTTTCTGATTCTTCTTATTCTGGTTTCCAAACATCCAGTCTAATATCTCCTTTTGCGTTTCACAGAAGACAGAAACTGAAACGGGTTTGGAACGCGTAAATAATGACAGAATTTCCATTTTAGGTGAACTGTCCCTTTAAGACGCCGCTGCCTCTGCCCTCCGAGAGAAATACAGCCACTGTATTTTATGTAACTTGCTGCATGCCTGGCATATTGATTATTTTATCATTAAAGACAACATCGCATATACAATCACACAGACACAGATCTTTGAATTAAAAATGTACAAAGTTCTGATTAAAAAAACGGATTAAAATAGCACCAAATCTAAATATATATGAAAAACAACCAAGAGGTCATAAAAAGATTAATGCATACCAATAGCTCCATATTCCTGCTGATTTAAATGATTTGCCGATTCCATGCGCTAAGACTTACTGACATGCTCAACCAGAAAAACTGAAATAGCATCACTGTTAAGCAATTTGGACAATCACATGCAAACAATTTGACTCTGTGAAAACACACTACAATAGGCTGGTGTATTCTCAAGAGCTTGCAGTGTGCAGCACATTTGGGCACCAGTGGAACCGTTATAAAAAGTCAGGTCATTGTACTCTTAAGAACAGCGGTTTACTGTTTATTTTAGAAGATACAGTGGAAACAGCTAGTAAACCGGACGGATAAACCACCATATCACCAGATTAATAAATATGTATCAAAATAATTACATGTAGTTTGGGCATCTTTGTTTGCTACGCGTTTTAATATTAATTTTTTTTTTTTTTACAATTTCCCACTGAGCACTGGCTTAATGCAGTTGATATAATTCAGGCATACAGCTCTTTTTCTAAGTTGAAGTACTCTGGGAATGAAAGAGAAAATGTAATTCGATGAAAAATATCTAAATACTCTTGAGTGCTTGAGTGAATTGTGAACTGAAGCAAAGCAATACTGCCTCCTAGCGACAGTAGAAGTCTAACACACGTTTAGACCTACTTGAGGGATAGTTCACCTTCAGGTGCTGGTCCCCATTGACTTGCATTGTGTGTGTTTTTCTCCATACTATGGAAGTCAATGGGGACCAGCAACTGAAGGTAAACTATCCCTTTAGCTTTCTAAATGGAGACATTCCTTAGCTCAGTTCTGGCTACAAATTTGTCCCCAAAATATGGTTAAGCAGGCATACACATGATCATCACCATACCCTCTTTAGCAAGGGAAAGATAGTGGTTTATGATGGTTGAATTTCTTTTTCGGTCTATTAATGTCTGCATATAACTTGTGATATTTAACCAATGTTAAACAGTCTTTTGAGCATGACACAAAGAAAGGTGATCTGAATTAAACCTAATGAAGCTTAGCGATGTATGTTCTGCGGGTAGGTGAATGATGCTAAACTGTTTTGAATTGGTTCCAAATTACTCAGTAGTTTATATATTTTATCTAATCATTCTTGTTGATACTTACTTTGCAGTAACAAACAAGCTAGTGAAGGTCAAGGTGATAAATGTCCAAAATGTGATATCAGTAAATGAAAACTAAAAGTAATGTCCTTTTAACAAAAGTTCAAATGTCACGTTTATACTACATTTTAATCCATTTTCTGTCATTGTCATGTTTCATAAGACACATTTTTGTTTTTAGGCTAGACTCAGTTGCATCCTCCCTTATACAAAACATTTTATTTATTTTTATTCCAAACCTTATTTAGTTGGTTCATTAATGTTCAGCATCTTCAAGTATGATTTTGTGCCACCAATTAATAGTCAGAGTCCTATCAACATTAGTTAGAAAATGTGGCACAGCTGTCAAGAGACCAATCAGAGGCAAAGAAAAACAACAAGACAAAGCGATTAGAGGTTTGAAACGGCATAGCCGTTTATAAACCTCTTTATTGAAGTAAACCAAAAAAAGCAAACACATCATGCATTATAGTATATGAGCTGTTACCCAAAATAATTAAAACACTATCTAAAAAAATACCAACAGTAGAAAACTTGAAAAGTCAAATGGAGTTTCGGAGCTGATCCTGATACTGATTAATAAACCAAAAACCATTATACTAGTAAAAACTAGTATAATGCTCGGCTGAAATGTTGGTCTTCTGTTTACATTTTAGTTGAGTCTTTGCTGCAACCAAGTCCTCATGGTCTCTAGATTCCTCGAGAGCCACATAATGTTCTTCTCCACGTTTTCTGTGGCCACCTGTATGACACGCAGCTGAGATACCTGCTCTGTGATGGACTTGAAGAAATCCTCAACCTTAACACAAAAAGAACAAAAAGCAATGCTGTAAATGAACCATCAAAACAGATGATCATTCCCTCTAAACAACAAATGAACAACCCACCTCTCTCAACTCCTCTGTGGATGAGAACTGAGTCACAGTGCCAACAATTATATTTCTGATTCCAAAAGATCCCAGCGGAAACCTTTGATAATGAGACATAAGCATGTTATATGCACAGTAATAAACATATCACAGCTGTTATATTACACCTTTCTAACATAAATAAAAAGCAATGGATTGCACCTACTTTTCTACTAGTTCATTCCAATGTTTCTTCACAAAATCCCATGCTAGAAAATGACCCACTGGATTTCTGGCAACCATATATATGAGACTAGGTAAATTTTGTGGTTTTATTAGAGTCCCATCCATTCCAAGCTGTAATAATCTACAGGAAAGATGGAAACATTCAAGGCATTGCATAATGTTAACCTCATTAAGATTTACATTTGCATTCATGTGTTCCAACCCCCAGTAAATAAAGCCCGAAATCAAGCATTGCATTTACTTAGCAATTCTGCATTTCATTTTCTATCTGTGTATTTTATATATGACAATATGATTTTATGAAGTTCTTGAAATAAGTCTCTTATGCTCACAGAGGCTGCATTTATTTGATCAAAATTACAGTAAAACAGTAATATTGTGAAATATCATTGCAA